AAAAGCTGCAAAGTTAGGAGAAAAGTTTTGAAAATTGTGTTTTTCTTCAATCTTTATCCTTTTTAGCTCGAACTTTCAAATGATCAAGACTACTGGCTGAGAGTGGGTGGTCTCTTTACCAATATCCACATAGTTAGTATAAGCTTAATTTTTTTCTCTTTATTATTCTAATATAAGCCTTTTGGTTAGGGAACATCTATTCAACGAAAACAACTGCTATTTATGAAACTTGACTATCAGCATTAAAATTTAAAATCTTGAAGTCTATTGTGCAACATATTTATTATTAAAAATTAGACGTTCACTGATTTGAAAATAAAACTCGATAATCTCGATAAAACACTTATAGTACTGGTCAGAATAATTACCTTCTCTGCCATGCAAAATGACTATTAAATATTCTACGAAAAATGAACTTCTAAACTATAATTGTTCAACTTCGATTTCGAGCAATTTATAAAGTAGTCTCATACATACAACTTTGCATCAATTTTGGTCAAGTGGTTCCTATAATCATTTTTAAATTACGAGCAGTCGACAGAAGTGAGAGATTTCATTGAAAAAAAAGGTCAAATTCACCTTTGGGCAACGAAACAAGTAAAATTTTCAATTGAAAAGTGCTATGATAGTATAAGTAATAAAAAGCACTTCTCAATTATGAGTATACATATAGCCATTTTTAAAGATTCACTTATAAGTACTGTTTTACTTTATTTGATGCAGTAGAAAATACTTGCTAGTGATATTTGTATGGCCAATTTTATATGAATGACTTAGGCTTTTGAATACTTGGAAACCCGTGCACAAATACTTTTAAAAAGCTAGAGGTAATAATCAAACTAGAAATGTTTCAAGGGCTGTCAAGAATACTTCTTTTGAAAGAGTATACAATAAAAGAGTGCTCTTCTTTTCTATGTGAAACAATTTTTTGAACGTTAAAAGATAGTTCAAAGCAGAGCTAGATTACGCTAGAGCTTTCAGAAGTTCAGAAAATATCATGCAAAATATAGTTCCCCCAAAGGTTCAACATAACACCTTATTACTTAATACAAATGGGTCCAACTTTTCTTTGCTGTGAAGAACTGAACAAGAACAACAATTGTTTAATGGCTAAATGTTCTGAATAATTGTATTAACTTTGTATCGAGAAGCGAGAAAATTTTCTTGAACAGTTTTAAAAAATTGATTCATTGTAGTGTTTGTCCAAATTGAATTATTGTAAATCTCGATGACAAACATACCTCCGACTTAAAAAAAAATCATGTATTCAGACGCGTACAAAGCATATACTTTTACACTGATAGCATATAATATTGAATCGCAACGAATTCAACTCTAACGCCAGAAAAGCCGCTAGTGTTCGATAATGATTTGTGAGAAATTTTTCACTCGTCTTCATTAGCACGTTGAGACTAACCTCGTTAGTTCGATATCAGTCATCACATTAATCGAATAATGTGAGTACCAAGACAATAGAAACATAGTGGTCAAATGAAATGAAGAAATCTCATAACCTTTTTTCGTTGTATGAACAAAGAGCTAGACATGGCATGGTGTGTTTTTTCACTTTTCTATTTGAAAAAGTTGTTATGTAGCAATTGATTTTGAGCCTTTGAGCAGTCTTTGTAAAGATGAGCTCAGAATGATTTACAGAGTGTTTTGATCCAAACAAAATAGAGTTGAAATAAATTCATACTCACTTCTTTGTGGGATGGAAAGTTCTTGTGGTGCCAACAGTTGTCTGAGTCTATAATCCATGTCATTTTGCGTCTGTTCAATCTTAGTCTGCAAATAAAGTCAAAGGAAGATCTTAGTGAATAAATAATAAACTTTGTCTTTTCTGTATTTCAGAATGGTGTTCATTTGGCGACGCTTATATGAGGAGAAGTCTTCTGTGTGCTTGTTTGAATTAGAGGTCTCATTTTTGTTTATTTTAAAAATGAAAGTTAAAAATTTTCATTTGCTTTAAAATTAAAATATCAGAAAAAAGCTTATTTTTTTATGAACAAGTTAAATAAAGAAGTTAGACCTTTAGGTACATTCCTCAAACCACTGTCATTACAAATATTGTTAAATATCTTCAACGAAAAGAATGTTATCTTTTGTTCGCATTACAAGCATAAAAAATAAATAGTCAACACTCATTATGGAACAAATGATACTTTGAATGTTGGTTTTAAACAATAAAGAGAAGATAATAGTGGCGTAACCACGAAAGGTCTAGGGGGCTGAGCCCCTAGAATTGTTCGAGCCTTGCCTAGAAATTTTTTAGTTCTCATGAAAAAAAACAGTTGTTTCTCATTTCGGGGTATATCGAGCAGAGTGAACGAGACACTTATGTTCATCCTATTTAATATCTGATATTTTTTCTTCGATAAAATAAAAGAACAATTCAGTTTTTCAAAACAACGGAGGAATCGATGAACCTCTCTAATGAAAAAAGTTATTCACTCATTTCTAATTATGGATGTGGGTGTGATGTGGATGCAAAGGTATTTTGTGTCCACACCCACCCACCCCACACCCTATGTTGTGTAACACAATGAAAAACGTTTTCTATTATGATTAGTGAGGACGACAAGCTCAAGAAAATGGCCTATAACAAAGTACAAAAGATAACCAGCAAAAAGCGCTTATCGTGTAGTATCCATTTCTGCATAACTAAAATTAGAATTACATTTTGTTATAACCAATTCCATAAAACTATGCATATTTTTTCAGATCAATATTAGTTAATTCGACTTTTCCATACATGAGTTGTTATAGTGGTCGAAAAATCTCGGAAAACCGTAAGAAACCAAACTAGTAATTTACAGAGATAAGTTGGAAACTGCGGGACCACGTTTTTTTGGTCCCGGTCCCGTGTTTCTAATGGCGAACGTAAAAGAATTTTTTACGAAACCCATTACGGTGTGGCACATAAGTGTACGCCGTGTCATGCGTGTATTTCTAGTTCTGCTCTTAGAAATCGTCTAAATAGTCTATTAGCCGGGTATGGCGTAGTGGTTCTAGGCATCTGATTATCAGTCAGACATCAGAAGGTTCGATTCCTTCCCCCGGCCCGGTGTCTTCGGTGTCAAGATATACGGTATCGGAAGAATAAACGAAGGAAGCACAGCAATGCACGCCGACCTCGTCATTACTGCCTCGATTTCGATTTTCGTTCTGTTCGTTTTCGCTTCCTTGGCATTCTTTCTCTGTTTGTTATCGTTATCTTGTCTGTTGATTCCTATGTTCGTAAGCGTCCGCAAAAATTGTATAAAAAAGCACAAAAAAATATATGGATGTCACGAATAAAATTCAGCATAATTAAAAAAAAATAGTCTATTATCTGTTCATATGTGAACATTATAAATATGCTAATGTTAACAGATATTCGAAAACATCGGTTTTTATTCTTTCATGAAATAATTAAAAAATTTATGGATCATCAATTGACTCTAAGAGACAATGAGCCATATTCACAATTCGCTTGTTGGCCACTTTTTCAGCTATTTGGTGGCCAACATATATTCATTCATTCATATTTTTCTTTCGATTGTTTACTACCTCCAACAGTTCAAATACCATTTTGAATATCTTGTAAGAGCGAAATCCAGTGAAATAGTTGATATGATAATCATCATTTTGAAAACGTTCAACAGACATGATGGAAGTGATGACTTTTTGTTCAAAGATTGAAAGTTTTTCAAAAAGAGTTGAGAGAGAGATCATATCAAGATCAGTTTGCGTTTCGCTATCAATCGTTCGTGAGTGAGAAGAGTAGTCGATTGGTAGAGCTCCTGGCTTCAGACGTTTTTTTGAGCTTGTGCATCATTGTGATTGTTCGTCTTGATTGAATCGATTAAATATGATGATGCATGAAAATGAAGACCACAAATTCTTTTGTTCGAAACATCTTTAATATCGAATCGGTGAAGACGTTTAAGCCACTGATATTGTTGATTTTTATCTGTTGGAAAACGATGAAAAGAAACGGTCTTGAGCCGATCTTCTCGTTTAAAGCAAACAATACAGTTTTTCACCATTTTGTTCGTGTAAAAAAGCGATAAATATGAGACGTGCGTTAAATGTGATCTATTTATATCTCACATAAATATGAGCGAGAATGAGAAATCAGTCACCTGTTCTCATTCATGTATAGACTAATATTGAACATTGTCATATAAAGAAGAATGGCACTAATGTATATTAATTAATCATACACCGATGAAAGCGTTATCATGTAATCCCATTAGACAATGATAATAGTCTTAATGAAAAGATAGACGTTCCAATCGATTGATATATATATATATTCACATTCTGTTCTGACACTTTCTCTTCTGATACATTCATGACAACTTCATTACTTTCTAATCCTATTTCAATCGTCAACTACAGAAGAGCATTTAATATTGACTTGGGATCAATCACTGAGTATTTTTCCTCAGTACTTGCCACTGATGGAAATCTTGATCGTGGTGCTTTGAAGAATGGAAACCTGTTATTCAAAGATCATTTTATACATTCTATTAATATCTACAAGTACTATACTAAAAGAACCATTTCAGCAAAGTGTCGTGCACAAATGAAGAAATCAACAACGTATAATGTAACTTCATTTGTCAGACTTGTTTATTTTCGAGAAAAGTTCTGTTTCATTTGTTATAGTTGAACTTGATCATCAATATCAATAAGCCAGCTGATATTCTTGAAGGTATATGTGAATGTGTTGCTGGAAGTGGTCCACGAGCTGCTTGCAAGCATCTAGCTGCTCTTTGCTTCGCCTTACTTGATTATGATCAGAACAAACTATATGAAGCTTGTACGGAACGTTTACAGGAGTGGCATCAACCGACGCGACGATCCACAAATCCAATACCCCTGCTGGATATAAGATTCACCTGTCTTCAACACAATAGAGTTGAAGAAAAAATGTCGAAATACTGGAAATTTTTAGAAGAATATTCTTACGTACCCGCAGCAACGACAACTTTACGTCGACTACTTCTCAAATATGATCAACAATCAACTGCTGCTGCTTGCTTTCTTTTACCACAACAAACAACTACTTCATTCATAACTCTTCCTGCTCGTGTTGTCGATCAAGTTTCAATTCTTTCAGGTTATTCGATCGATTAAACAATCGAAAGAAAAATATGAATGAATGAATATATGTTGGCCACCAAATAGCTGAAAAAGTGGCCAACAAGCGAATTGTGAATATGGCTCATTGAGTTCTTCTTTTTATTCAAAATAATTTTTCAGACCGGCTAAAAAATAGTTTCAGACCCGGTTCCGGTCCCGCGAGGCTGAAACCGGGACCGGAACTAGTTTGCAGTTCCCTAGAGATAAGCCATTTTAGGGTTCTTTTGATCTCCATTAGTTTCACGTATTGCACAATACTATATCGATTAATGCATAGCATATGCAATCTTCGCAATAATAGTCAAATTTAATTCAGTTCCGATTCCAATTAAATCTAAGAATTAATATTGGTGAAACCTCAAGTAGTCGATCGAATTCTATCAGCGAAGATGTACTTAGAGGAGAAAAAAATTTGAAGTGAAAAAGAAAGACTTACTGCTTAGTACTCGATATATTCGACTCTCATCATAATTCAAGATTGGTATCTCTATTCATGCATTACAGGTATGTATAAAAAGAAAACTACATACGTTTTTCTACCAATTGCTAGACTGTGGATGAAACAAAATTTTTTCTAGACTTGAACTTACAATATCTGGATCTATACTGGATTTATTCATGTCTAATTTATCATTTTCTAATTGTTCAATCACCTATGAATCTTATAAGAACTGTTATGTTCCGTTAATTTATTTGGAAACTGTAATCACTTCATCACTTTCAAGAATATTTGGATGAGCCGCTTAATGTTTTACAATGGTCTTCGATTTCAGTAAAATCTCAGTAAAACCTCTGGAAGTTTAGATAAAAATACAACAAACATGATTTCGGGCGTAATATTTCTAGACAAAACTATTTTATCTAAATAGTGTTCTGTGTGTTGCTGTCGGGATATAATTTACAGGCTCACATTAGGTATTATATGATCAAATGGCAAGATAAAGTGAATATTTTACCTTAACGTTGTTAAAGCCTTCTACTTGGTTTTTAAAGCCTTCTACTTGTTGATCGTGGTCTATATTGACTCTACAAAACAAAACAAAAAAATAAAAATAAATAAAATGCATAAATAATTAATTGAATATTACAGCATAGTGTAATGCATAACTTACTTTGTCTTCAACTCTTGCAGAGCCTTTTCAACTGAGAACTGAACACCTTTGATGAATACTTTAGATTTCCAATACATTTCAGCATATTCTTTTTCAACATTCATCTGATACAAGTTGTTTTCGCCATTATTCTTAGATGAATCATCTAAAATGGTTGAATGACCATCAAATTCCGACAGTATGTCTAATTTTATAAGAGATACTCTCAAAGCAGATGATACCTTTCTTAGAACAGAATAGACAGATTATGAAGTGCACTAGACGCACTAGATGGTAGATAACGCTGAATGGAGGAGGCAACATGGCTTTTTCAGAGAATTCATCAACCAATTGGAATCGCTGATACCGCCAAATCGTAGTCGATTTTGTAAGTACATCTCCAATTGTCTGACTACATGGTACCAAATTAAACCCATGGTGTAAATTTCTGCGAAAAAAACGCGTTCTGAAAACGCATTTTTCCATAGCTGCAAAACGCGTTAATGCTGACCGGTTTGACGCGTTTCACATCTGCTAAAACAAACGCTGTGTAACGATTGTTTTTGTGAAAGATTTTGCAGCGTTTCTCAAACTGTGGTATCATTTATTCTAGATGGAAAAAAGCTGAAAACCGTCAATGACTTCATAGATCTTGAATTGCAGGTACAATTTATATATTCGTTTACATTTTTTCATAGACCGTCAGAACTATAACTTACATGAATTTTGATGCAGCCAAGACACGGATTCGAACACGAGAACATAGGAGTATAAGACATATATACAAACCGTTCAACTAAAATAATCTGATGATATAAATGTTTATTCTACTGTCATTTAGAGTCTCGCGTAAACTTACTAAATTAGATTTTCAGTTTCCATTCTACTGAATTGAAAATTATTATTTCTTTAGTGCCCATGTCCAATTAATGTGGCCTTTTCTTGATACATTTTTTATTTAAACTCTTTCAGATTTAAATTTAGATACTCAATAGAACCGAATTTAATCGATTTAAATTATATTTAATATTTAAAAAATTAAATTTCTTATAAATAAATTTTAAAAAATTTAAAATTTAATCTTTTATTTATTCTCTTGATTTAATAGATTTTTGTAAATGTAAATCTGCCATCGTTTTCTCCAATTACATCAATAAATGAAGGGAGTTTTCTTTTGTAAGTCGAATCTCTTTTATTAAAAAGTCACTATTACTTCAACAATGTACAAACTAAAATCATGTTTACTAGTATTGTACACAGTATCATTATTCATTATCAATTCGTTCGAGTATGAACTCATTCTAATAATTATTCAAATTATAGATAACGTGATAATTATTTTGTTCACAAATAACCAAAGAGAGTTGCCATACTAATGATATTAGTATCAATCTTTACTAAATCTTTTCGAAATGCTCAATATTTAAAACGATTCTTAAGTAAACCTTACGAAACATGTTTTCTTTCAATAAAAACGTGGCGAAATGAGTTTTTAAGTAAGCAGAATATATTTTTGTTACACTTTGATGTTTTACATTAGTCTAACTTCGAAATAAGTCTAGATAACAGCGTAGCAGCCTAAAAATTTCCAAGACTTTGATTTTAGTCTTGCCTTCATAAAATCCTTGGTCATGATTTTCACGTAAAAATAGTGCAAGGAGCAAAACTTTAAGTGCTATTTCATATCATTTCCAAAGTAATTTTAAAGAATTTACTTTGGTTAACTCATATGCTTTGTGTTAGTGAATTTCTGCAAGATTCTGTATGCAGAACGGATATATTTTGCATTATTCCAAGCAAAAACAATCCAACATACATTTGAAAAAGGAACGCGTTCCACCTTTCCCTCAATTTGCACCTGTGAAACGCGTCGCCTGTCGACCAAAGCGCGTTCGACAACATTTGAATTCAGAAACGCCTCGAAACGCAATCTTGAAAAAAGCGTTTCGGATCGTTTCTAAAAACGACGGTGGCAAAACGCATTTTATGTAAGTAAGAATGCTGCGAAATGCGTCCTGTATTGAAAAAACGTTGCGAAACGCATGCTACAATCTCGGAAACGCGTTACGCGGTCCGTTTGCTTCAATATTTTACTCCATGGGAAATTATTCTAAAAACTATTCTCCGTTTGTTCTGTACTCACTTGAACATTGCGATCAGAACATTCAAAAGAAGTACATTTGATATTACTACGAAAGCAACGGCATACAAGAAAACAAATATACCATAAGCATCATTTTCTAAAGAAAATAGGAATAAAATTTTTATTTAGCAATAGTACCAGTAAAAATGTATATCTTCGTACCGCTAATTACGTCCATATCGGTAGCATTATTTTTAAAAGGTTCTGCTACCTGTCCGAATACTTTCCAAATGCCCCAATTAAATATATCTCGTAGTAATTGCCAATTCCACTGTACTCCGTTTTTCCTCGCTTTAGTGACATTGATCATCGAACCATTGGTTGCATACAACCAAGTGATTTGATTATTGGTAGGCAACAGAGACCAAGAAGTAATTGAAAATGC